TTGGCGCATGTGGCAAAGTGTGATCTAATGTGTGCCCACCATTAGAAGTGGGTGGATGCAGGGCGGTATATTCTAATGGTGGGCATACCACACACTTTTTTTGGCAGATATTTCTTCTCTTCTTTCCATTCAGTCCACAGGCTGCATACAAAAAAAAAAATAACATCGCATATACACCCAACAAGGACCAGCGATGTACTGGTACATCACTCGACTTTGAATGGTTATACAAGGATGATAGCGAATGAAGGGGAGAGAACAATGTTCTTGGACAACTTGCCAGCCAGCTTGCAAACAACCGAATTAACCTAACAGTATGCGTTTATAAACAGGGGTTTAGTTAGCACACATTTGCAAATACATACGTAATCCACAGAGCCACGTCACGGCACCCTGATAATCTGTGGTCCTAACTCTACAATTTCTGAGAGCCCCCATAATAGAGGCACATGTATTTAATGGATAGATCAAGGGCAGGTGGGCCTGAGGGAACACACCCCTCTTAAAAGGCAAAGGAGTGCACAGGACCCTAGCATATAGCAGAATGGCAGCCAGGGTATCCTAGTTTTATTTTTTATACCAGGATGATGCCTACAGCTGCAGGCATCATCCTGGTATCGTTTTTTGAGCCAGCGACCAGCTTTCATGTGAAAGCAATTCTAGTGGCTAATTAGCTGCAGGATTGCTTTTACAAGCAGCGGGGTATGATGCCCCCCCTCCCCCGCTGCCTTCCACGGCCCTCTCGGGCAGTCCCGTGCCATCGGGGGAAACCTGAGAATGCAGCCGCTGTTTCTGCCAGCTGACCATAGAACTGATTGGAGACCAGAGTGGTGCCAATCATCTCTATAGTCTAAGAATTCGGAAGCTACGAGCATTTCATCACTTCAGTTTCGCAGGATATAAACAGCGCCATTTGTAAATTGGGAAAGCATCTGATCACACCGATTTTGGTTTGATTAGATAATGTAAGGGCAGAGGAGATATCTAGAGCCTGATAGACCCCAGATTTCTCAAAAAAGAATATATGACAATGCCAATTGAAGTTATAGGGGATATTTGCATTCCCTGTGATAGCATTAAAAGTGATTAAAAAAAAAAAATGAACGTTAACAGTGTAAAAATAATTTAAAAAAATCAAAATAACTTACAAAAAAAAAAACTTGCCCCTCCCATGCATGCACACCTTTGTGGACAAGCGTTGACCCTGTGCCAGTATGTAAACACCAGTTGCATCATACATGTGAGGTATCGCCGTGAACGTCAGATCAAGGGCAGTAATTCTAACACTAGACCTCCTCTGTAAATCTAAAATGGTAGCTTTTAAAGTGTTGCCTATGGATATTAAAAATGTATGCAGTTTGTCGCCATTGCACGGGACATGCGCAGTTTTAAAGCATGTCATGTTTGGTATCCATTTACTCGGCATACCATCATCTTTTATATCTTACAAAATAATTGGCCAATATATTGTATTTTCGTGCATTAATAGTAAAAAAAAAAAAACGTATTTTGTTTTAAAAATTTGCTTTGAAACATCGCTGCGCGAGTACTATGTGCCATAAAAAATTGTAGTACCCACCATTTTATGCACTAGGGTGTCTGCTTTAAAAAAATATATATATGTTTGGGTGTTTAAATTAATTTCCTAGCAAACAAAACAGATTTTTTTTCATGTGAACAAAAAGTGTCAGAAAAGGCTTGATCTTCAGGTGGTTAGAAGAGTGAATGATGTGTGGCATAAACTTCTAATGCTGAGCATAAAACGCCCCCACCCCCCAAAACTACCCCTTTTTGAAAAGTTGACACCCCAATCTATTTTCTGAGAGGCATGTTGAATCAATGGAAGAATTTATTTTTTTACCACAAGTTTTGGAAAATGACAATTTTTTTTTTTTTTTTTTTACACAAAATTGTCACTTAAATGATTTACTGCTCACACATGCCATGGGTATATGTGGAATTAATCCCAAAATACATTCTGCTACTTCTCCCGAGTATGGGGGTACCACATGTGAGAGACGTTTTGGCAGTCTAGCCAAGTACAGGACCCCAAAATCCAATAAGCACCCTTCAGGCTTTTAAAGGACTTTATTTCCTCATTACACTTCCAGACTACCTATTACAGTTTCAGAGGCCCTGAAATGCCAGGATAGCACCTAACCCCCCCCCCCCCCCCCCCCCCAAATGACCCCTTTTTGGAAAGTAGACACCACAAGGAATTTGATAAGAAGCATGGTGAGTATTTTGCAGATCTCATTTGTTGCCACAAGTTTTTTAGAAAATGAAAAAAACAAACATTTTTTCTTTTCTTTTTTTATATTTCAAAACCTTGTGAGAAAAAATTAGATCTGAAAATACTCACCATGCCGCTTTTTAAATTCCTTGGGGTGTCTACTTTCCAGAAAGGGGTCATTTGGGGGGGGGGGTGGTGCTATCCTGGCAGGTCAGGGCCTTCAAAACTGTGATAGGTATTGAGGAAGTGATATGAGGAAGTTACGCA